GATGAGGATGAATGGGTGAGAAGAAATACTACCGTTGCATCTGGCTTGGGAAAAGAGGTGCACCTGGCAACCCTTTTTAAATCAGGGGAGCTTTTCTGCTTTCCTCCGTTTGGCTTTCAGATGTTCTGAGTGGTAAAAGGGGAAGTGAGGAAGCGGTTAACTGCACCCAACTAACTTCAGAAAGATGAGTTCATCCGGAGATAGAATATGTAATATTTCCTTTTAGGGTTTCATTTATTGTTAGGGACTTGCATTTTTAGTAAAACAAATAGAGCAAGTAACAATCCCCCTAGCTAGTCAAGCTGTAGTAACATTTTGGATCTGAAATCAGGGGAACCCAAGAAGTGGGAAAGAGGTTAAGGCAACGCTGGGATTCACGTGCTTACAAACTCTGACACTGAGCTCCCCAGTAGTTCTTGCACTGGCAACTAGCACACGGTGAACCCGAGGCGGTACAGAGGAAGAAATCAATTTCATAAGAATCGTCAAAATGTAGGCGGCAGCAAGTGGGGAAAAGGCAAGACTAGGGTTTTTCCCTCTTTACTCTGTGCTTGTTGTGCAAGAAAGAACAGATACAAGAAAATGTGAAAATCTGAATGTAGTACTTTGGCGTGCCATATTTAGCCCTTGTTCATAGATGTCTTTATGACTTTTATTACATGGTGATATTCTCCAAAACATGCTTTTGTTTGTGTTCCTTCACAGAAGGAGGCTTTGTGAAGTGGCAACCATTTAGTGTGCCACAACTTCCCCTCAGAGTTGCAAAGTTGCCACTGGTACAGCTGACAAATAATTCACCAGTAATGACAAAAAGGTTTATTATCAGATAGGAAAACATCTCAAGGGTGGGTCGTATCCAGATCTGTCAGGGGCATACTAGTTTTTGTTGGTTTTTCTAAGAAGTTGGTGTGAAATAGAATACACTTAGAAATAAGAGGAGGCATTACAGATACCAGGAATGGGATTCAAATTGTCTCAGGTAAATAAGAGAAGTAGTCCTACATAAACAAGTCAAAATGTCATAAGGACAAGGAGTTCTAGAATTACAGGGGAATAAAAAATAAATGCAAATTAATTATGTTCCTTTCTTAAAAAAAAAAAGGCAAATAATCTGGCATGCACTAGCAGACAAAAACAATCTAGAATAAAGGAGGTGCACAGAGGTGCGTGTTTGTGTATTTATATAGATTTTTTTTTTAATTCAACTTGGTGAGGCCTCTAAGAATCTTGAGTACAGGAAGTCTGACAGATGCAGACAAACAGGCAGAAGTGCACAGAGAAGGACAAGCCTGATAAGGGCTGAGGAAAATGATCTGTGAAGAAAGACTGAATGAGTTAAGCTTGTTTATCTAGAAGAGAGAAAACTAAGGGCAAAGTGTTGAGCATTTCAAATATATATATTTTTACCAAAGTGTTATTAGAGAGAATATTCTTCCAAATGTCAGTTTTCTCTGTTTTGTGAAAGCACTCAATCATAACTGTCTGTATCACATATGCTGGTTTATGGATTGATGAATAGTTGGTTCTCCATGTCAAACAAAGCACAAGAGAAAATCAATGTAACTCGCTGTGCAAAAAACTTAAGGAATATTCAGAAGAACTTTCCTACTCTTCAGGTAATGAATTGCTAGAACAGGCTACCAAAAAAACCCACCACTGCATAATCTCCTTCACTGAAAGTTTTGATAAAGTTAGATAAACACCTGTGAGGGATGGTTGAGGTTTACTTCACCAGGCCTCAGTCCAAGTGGTTTGAATAGGGTTGTGCTGAAGTTTTCTCCAATCCTACGTTTCAACAGAAGAGGAAGGAAGAAATCCAAAGGGTTCCATTACTTTTTAATGCTTCTTCACTTACAGTTTTACACATAGCCTGCTCCCTCCTGGAATTCTCTCCTCCTTCGTGATGATCATGTCATTGGTACTGATTAAGAGTACTCATCTTTATAATAGGAAAGACCAGTAACCATAAAGACAGAACTGTATGCAGAAAATGGTCTCTGTCCAGAGCCTGCAAAGGCAGGACAGACACAGGATAAAGGGAAAAACATGAAAAAACACATTTTCCCCAGTTTCCCTCTCCATCTTTATCTTTTATCTTCCTTTGCTCTTGTAACAGTAACATCCAACATCTCTCAGCAGATTTCCCGTATATTTGAGATTCTTTCCCACTAGTTTTTCTTATCCAGGACTTGAGTGTGTTTGCATGAATTCTACTTAAAATGGCTATAGTATGGGGGAGAGGGGGTTTCCTATGAACATGACATCTCCTTGTCTAAAATCTGTACACAACCCATCTTCATAAAGCAGCTGATCAAAACTTGAAGATGTAGGGCAATGTGCCTCAAATGTTTTCAAAATAATAATCTTACAAAAACAGCATGGCTCCAAAATCCCTATGAATGTATGCTATCACCATTTTTATCTTGTCTTGTACTGTGCTTAAAAAGGTCTGAAAATGGATGCCAAGTTGCTGTAATTATTAGTATCTATAAAATTGTTTTTAAAAAGTGATAAATGGCAAGAACTGTCAGGTTCTACACTTAGTCTTCATCTTTTACCAAGACTGGAACAGACCACGTAATTTTGAACTTTTATGTTAAAACTGTATGTAAAAAGAATCCACTTGTTTTGGCTCTACTGGGGTCAAATTCATCTCTCTCCCTGACATAAGCAAAACTAGTATGAAAACTTACAAACTCAGTTATATGGTTCTTAAATTTTTGGAAATGTCGTTCTTCTTCTATTGCTCATTCTTTGACATTGTGGATACATCACTGAAGTTTACAGTTGCCTCTAAATACTTGTGGATCACTGTTCATAACTGTATAAAATCTCATTATTTTTGTCTGAGAAAGGATTTCAGCGCATCCCAAAATTTCTCTTTCCACAACAACAGTCAATTTAATATGTTGAGTGGCAACTTTGTTTTGAGGTTGTTGTTCTTTGTTTTGGCTTGGGATTTGTTTGTGTTTGTTTTTTTTTTTAATACAGCAAGTCACCTGCTTGCATGAACTCAATGTTTATTTTCTACTGGATGGTACTGGATGCCAACTTGCAACCTTTATCTAAAATATATCTTATCTCCAGGGATGTGAGTCTGCTTGTAAAAATTAGACTGGAACAAGCAAGCAGAGAAAAGGTTGTAAATACACAGCAGTAAAAGAATAAAAAATAAAAAAAAATATTAATGTGGAAGGTAAACATGCACTACAGCTAATTTTTCTTGAAAAAATAGCATGAGGTCGACCCTTGCAATTTTATAATCACAAAGAATGTAAAGAAGAAAATTCACCATGCAGCATTTACATAGATAAGTGAAAGGAACTCCTGAAGAAAAGCTGAATGCACACTCTCTGCCTAAGCCATAAAACATCAGTACAAAATTATGAGTAGGTACAAGCCCAAATTAAACAAACAGTTATTTATATGTGTGCTTATGTTATATTCCCTTGGGTGGTCCAGCTTCCTTCTGTGAAACTATTCATGCTAACAGAGTTAAGCATGTGTACTCACAGGAAGAGTCTCTGAGGTCTCATAAATAAATCCTATTATGTAATATCTGATAAAGTTGTTTTTACATCAGTATCAAGCTTAGAAACAAGAATGCATATTACTGGGCCAGACCTGAGTTCAGTGTCCTGTCACAACAACTGACTAGTGCTAGTCTCTTGACTTGAGAGAAATTTATGTGTACACTGTAATGCGAAACAAGGGATGATTTTTGCTCACAGTAGCCTTGTATCTCATTAAATCCTCCAAAGCCTTTCCAAGTCAGCAAATTCCATAATCCACAGTATTTTTTTCAAAAAAGAAGAAATAACTAAAAGAAACCAGAAATGCCCTTTTAACAATTTTAAATTTGCCACTTTCTAAGAGGATGTCCTCTTGCTTTTTGGTTATCACACCGAGTATGTAGACCTTCCAAACTTACTGTATCTGTTCCAGTTGTCCTGATACACTTACGGCACATTAGTTTGTCTACTTATGGCACATTAGTTTGTCTACTTTCTTAAGTATTTTTTTGTTCTTTTGAATCATTCTTCATACAACCACTTTTTCTATTCTCCACTTTTCATTTTCTTTTCCTCATTCTTTCTAATTTGCAACATTCATTCTGAAACGGAGTTTTCAGTGTTGTACACAGTTTCAAAATAAGCTGCAGGACTTGCATAATGACATCTTTTTTTACATTATTTCTGGCTTGTTAAATTTGTCTAGGCTGCAAATTGAGCTGTGTAGTTATTGTTCAGGTCCCTCTTCTGTGCAAGTATCATTGAACTATCTGTGTGTTTTTGCAAGGCATATTACTTACATTTGTCAACATCAAACTGCATTTGAAACATGCTTATCTGTCTCTGAAGCTTCTCAGAACTGCCCGAGTAACTAGTAGATTGAGGAAGCCGGTCAAGTGTCAGTATAGGCTGAAGCGTAACTTGCACGTTTAAGCGAAAACTTTTAAGCTGAAGTTCAGTTTAAGAGCAATGTCAACGTAACGGTTCAGGTTCTGATGTTGCCTGGGTCTGGTTTTCATCTCCCCCGGTGACGCTCCTCCGACTGGCCGCCCCTTTCACGCACCAGCAGCTGCTGGGTAGTGCCGCCCGTCCTCCCCGGCGCCGAGGTACCACGGCACTCGCCCACCACGCCCAGGAGCTGGCTACCTTTCCCGGTCTGTAACCATAACCTTCCACAACTACATAGTTTTGGGGTTTGATTTTTTTTCCCTCTCTTCCCAAACGTGAGGGAATGTGTTAGAAGCCTTTGGAAGTTTGAATCGTCGCTGTAACGAGCTAGAGGGGAAGGACCAGTGCGCGCCCCGACCCCCTCCCGCCTCACTTGCGGAGAGGCGTTAGCGGGGAGACACCCCCCCAATTTACAGTCCTCCCCTGCCTCATGGCACCCAGGAGCATCGCGGCCGCCGCCTAGTTCCCCGCCCCCCCGAAGGTTTCCCTCCCGAGATCTCCGGGGAGGGGGCA